AACCCATGTTGTCTGTGATTAGGTAGATGTTGTGATTCAATTTGAATTGTGAATAAAACCTTACTCCTAAGCACTCTTTTAAAGACTTTGATGATCTGTGATATTAATTTAAGGCTATTGGTCCATAAATCCACAAGAGGTAGAGATTTCCCACTTGAATTTTTTGCTTCATGAATGCTAATTAACAATGTCAAATGAACAAAAAATTCTGACCCATTTTTTTTTACATATTACAGGAGTTAAATAGTTTTCATTAAGAAAAAATTTATGTGACTCTGGATAAAAAAAACAATCACCTGAGGATCACATAAAGAACACTAAGGAGCATATGGTAAACTTTCCATGAATAAATCCACAAGGGTCGTGATGAGGGTTCGAACTTACGTCTAGGATGATCCCAGATGCACCCTAGTTGATTGCGCCAGGACATGGTAAAAGAAATGCAACCGGTAGTGCTACTGCACTCACACAGATCTTGTAGCCTCTCCGAGACACAAACCGGGGTTTTACACAATTCTCCTGTGCACCCGGGCTGTGTCAACAAGCTGTTTTACCTCTTCGCCCTTACTTCAATACACACAGTTTGTGTCCCAGTTTGTGTCTCGGAGAGGCTGCGGGATCTGTGTGAGAGCAGTAGCAATCCCAGTTGCAATTCTTTTATCATGTTGTGGCGCAATCGACTAAGGCACGTCTGGGTTCATCCTGGACGTAAGTTTGAACCCTCATCACGGCCCTTGTGGATTTGTTCACTTGATTTATCATGCTATTGTGATTTCTGTGTGTAGTGCAAACTTTCCACCTTTAGAATCATTATTAAATACTGTACATTTGTCAGCCTTCAAATTGTAGACGGTTAGTGACAACCAATCGTGAGGCAGTTAGGCCTCTGACGTCATACCCAATAGTGTGTGGGCGCTCCTGAGGGTAGGCCGGAGTCAGTGTACTGTGAACAGCTAGAGTAGGTGGACTTCTGGTGAGCTGGATATTGTGTTACTTCTTAAAATAAAGCATCAAGAAGGAATGTGTGTGTTTTCTCTACATTCCCTAAGAGCCTCCAAACAACAATAAAAGAGCCGAAACACCTGGATGACGAAATATTAAAGAAATTATTCATGACCTTTGTGAGCCAAAGTAAAGCAGAAATAGTGTGGAAGCACATGGTGATCAAAACAAAGATGGCTGCTGGCAAGAGGAAGGACAAAAAAGAAGAGATTAATTTTGATGGTTTTAATAAGGAAAAATATTAACAGAAGTGATTTTTCACAACAGGTTGGCAAAAATGGATGATCATTGTAAGGAATCGTGCAGATAGAATTAAGAATTTGAGGAGCAGTAATGAAATTTTAAGAAACAAAGTTACTGCCTTGAAAGGTCAAATAAAAAAATTATACAGAGATATGAATAACTGGGAAACTAAAGGAAAAATTGTGGAAGAGGAAAATAAATTATTAAAGATAGCTCTTGAAGTTAACTCAAATCCAGATGTTAGTGAATACAATAGGTTAGGGAATGAAATTCAACAGGTAAAAGTGCTTTCGACAGAAAAGATAGAGGAGGTTCACATGATATAGGAAACTGCATGAAGGATATGCAGCTAACCCAAGCACAAGTGGCCACAGAGAAAGCAATACTGTACTAGAAGCAGCTAAGGAAGTGACCGAGCAACAACAGGGTTCTGAAAGACCTTGACCTACATCTTTCAGCAAAGAGCCAACACAATGTGTACTGCAGATACACAGTCCAATAAAGCATGAACAGGAAATCAGCCAATATTACCAGAACCGGGCACTCCTGCCTCTCTCAATTCCTTGACCACTATGACATGGCCTTAGATGTCATGGGAAGACAAACAAAATGCTGATGTCATATACATAAATTTCCCAAAGGTTTTGACAAATGTGACCATGGTATTATTGCACTCAAATTAAAAGGAATTACTGGCATGATACATTTCTTGATCCTCTTATCAAACATAGACAAGGACACAATCTATAGTACTGTCATCCTTCACAGATGACACTAAAATTGTCATGAGAGTAGACAATAAAAAGAACATGGCAAACCTCCAATCTGATGTTAATCAAGTCTTTCAATGGGCCACAGAAAATAACATGTTTAATGAGGGATGAGTTCCAATTACTGTGCTATGGAAAAACAAAAACATCAAAACAAAAACCCACATATAAAATACAGGAAAACCACACTTTTTAAAGAAAAAACAATGTAAAAGATTAAGAAGTAATCATGCTGGAAGACCTTACTTTTAAAGTACAGTACTGTACACAACAAAATAGCTGTCACAACTGCAAGAAAAATGACAGGTTGGATAACAAGAACCTTCTAAACAAGAGATGTCATGCCAGTGATGATACTTTTGAAGACATTAGAGCTTACTAGAGCACTAATAGAGAGCTTTGAATGGGGCTGTCAGTGTTGCACACTAACAGTCCCATTTAAAGCTGGAGAAATTGCTGACCCAGAGAGCATGCAAAGATCTTTTACCGCTACAGTTTACTCAATAAAATATCTAAATAATTGGGACTGTTTAAAATTTTAAATCTGTGTTTCTTAGAGCAAACGCAGGAAAAGGAGGGAGGGAATTATCAGCGAAAAGTGCCAAGCCATTACAACTATACAACACTTGGAAGGGATCAGAATAAGGATTTGGGATGGGACAGGGGAAAGGAATGGTGGCCAGCCACTTGGACGGTCGGGGATTGGACGCTAACCTGCATGAAGCGAGACCATCGCTCTACCATCCAGCCCAAGTGGTTAGGTGCTGCAGTAGGAAAGATGTATAACAATTTACACTCGGCAAATATTAAAAGAACTAGCTCCAAACCTACACACAGAAATAACACCAAATGAGACCAGGAGGCATGGCAGTATGTGCAAAATAGCCCCACTGAAAAGCAGAGGTGCAATAGGCACAGTGAGAGGCCATCATGTAAATGATTTTAGGTAGTAGAACCCCAAGCACAAATACCATAGTTGAGATAAGGATAGAAGTGACAGAAAACGTACCCAATTATTTGTCCCGTTCGAGATTCGAACCCGAATTCCCAATTGGGTCAAGAATGAACCCAAATGAACTACTGTACTGAGATTTATGGAATAGATTACCAAGTAGCACAAGAGACATGGGATCAGTGGATGGTTTCAAGCATGGGTTAAACGTATGTGCACGAGTTTGGTTTGGTATAAATAGGAGCTGCCTTGCACGAGCCAATATGCATTTTTTAAAGTTTTGATACTGAATTGAATAATGAAATAATAATGATAATAATGGAACAATTATTATATTATAATAATAATGTAATGTGACTTCTCTGTGTAATAATAATTATATTTATTTATTTACAAGATGATACAATGGTTATATGAAATTACGTAAGATTGGTATTTTTACATTCTAGCAAAGCCACTAACACGCATAGCATTTCAGCAGGTTCTTAATCTAACACATCAGGCAAGATGAAAAGGTACATTGTAGCATGGTTTTATATCAACAAATAACTACAATATAAATTGATAGAGGTGAGGTGATTACTCTGGTAAAGATATATGTCTAAGTACTATTAATATGGGGGAAGTGGGTAGTACATGATATAGTGAGAGTTTGAAGCACAAGGTAGGAAACTATGGGGATGAAATTGGGTACTTTTTGGTTTTACTTTTGAATAACGCATAGGCTGGATAATTTTTTAATTTATCAGGGAGTGAGTTCCATAGACTGGGCCCTTTTATTTGCATGAAGTGTTTGCACAGATTTAGTTTGACTGGGGATATCGAAGTGGTATATATATTTCTGGTATGGTGCTCATGGATTCTATTACATCAAGGAAAAGTTTCAGATCAAGACTAGTATTTAGGAACAAGGTTTTGAACACATGAGAATGTGTGGTGTGAGTGTATGTTTAGCATGTTAAGGGACTTAAACAGAGGGGCTGTGTGTTGTCTGAAGACAGAGCTTGTTATAGTTTTGACAGCAGATTTTGCAAAGTAATGATATCTTGAGATAATTTGCAGTAGTTGAACCCCATGCTCAGATATTGTATGTAAGATAGGGATAGATTAGTGTGTAGGGCTATGGATAGATTAGTGTAGTTAGATATAACTACAATATCTAATATATTGAAATTCAGTATATTAGTCTGCCGAGTAGACTAATCATAGACTATAGTCTGCTATATTGGGTCTGCAGAGTTATCAGTGCATTTTGAATTGAAGCGAGCTAGAAAGAGGTGACTTGCGACTCTCAGAAGCTCAAGTGAAACTGTACCCTAGACCATCCAGCAATTACCATAATAACATAATAATCACCAAACTTGTAGTGTTTGGCGACTGCCCGAAACGCTATGCGTGTTAGTGGCTTTCCGACAATGTAAAAAAATACCAATCTTATGTAACCTAACCCAATGGACCTTTTTGTGAATAAAAATAACGATTATATTACACCGGGTATGTAATATATATTTATGTATTACATTTGCCTGCAGTCTCCGTGGTGTAGTGGTAAGACACTCGCCTGGCGTTCCGCGAGCGCTATGTCATGGGTTCGTATCCTGGCCGGGGAGGATTTACTGGGCGCAATTCCTTAACTGTAGCCTCTGTTTAACGCAACAGTAAAATGTGTACTTGGATGAAAAAACGATTCTTCGCGGCAGGGGATCGTATTCCAGGGACCATAGGATTAAGGACCTGCCCGAAACGCTACGCGTACTAGTGGCTGTACAAGAATGTAACAACTCTTGTATATATCTCAAAAAAAAAAAATAAGAGTTTTTTCCCCCATACCTTGCCCGAAATGCAGTATGTATTGGTGGCTTTAGGTATTGTATGTACTAGCTCTTTCTAGAAATCCAACATTATGTTTGTCACTCATCTTGTATATATATATGTACTTTTACCAGAATAAACTTGATATTATTTGGGAACTAATACGCCAAAAAATTGATAAAATTGTGTTAGCGCCACCCAGCTCTCGGCTGTCTACATACACTCTTTATTTCATGTAGGCTAGACATTGTGCCAGTGCAGGAGAGCAACACCCTGCCCACCTCCAGGATAGCAGGAGGAGGGCAGCATCCTGACCACCTCCAGGATGATGATGATGGTGGGGTGGTGGCGTTGTTTACAAAAGGGTCTCCGAGCATTACTCTGGGCAGGAGGGTGGCGGCCCGGCCACTCTCGCCAGGCACAAGGCAAGAGTAGTAGTCACATCACCTCCCTCCCACCCTTCTCTCTCACACACATATATTACCTTCTTATTACCTTTTGTTTCCACACGCGTAGCTCCTCCGATGAATCTTCCATTGTTATCGGCTAAAGTGTCGAAGCTAAACGCGGAGCCGCCACTCCAGGCGTGTATTACGCCACATTTTGTGGGGTGTTCGTTTCGATCAGCTTTGCCATGATGGCGAATGAATGTGGGTTAAATAGTATATTTTCTTAACAATTATTGTTAAGTTACCCGCTATATATTTTATGATTATATAAATATTTATTTATGTATTTATGAATATATTTATGTTTTTATTTATTTATATACAATAATATATACATTGGGTTGAGAAAATATACATACACTGTATTTACCTGAATAAACTATTATTATTATAATTATAATTATTGTCGGACAGCCCCTTAAGGTAAGGAATAAATGCAACAGAATTTGAATGAAACATAATTACTGCATTACAAATTGACAGAATATATTATATTGATGAGATTCCCGTGGCGTAGTGGTAAAGCACTCGCCAGGCGCTTTGCTAGCGCTTTGGCCTGGGTTTGTATCCGGGGAGTATTGACTGGGCGCCAACTCTTAACTGCAGCCTCTGTTCACCCAGCAGTGAATGGGTACCTGGTTGTCAAACGATTTGGCGTGTCGTATTGAGGGGGGGGGGGAGTTTGGGTTAAGAACCTGCTTTAAACTTTATGGGTGCTAGTGGCTGTACATTTTTTTTAATTACCTAAGTGTAGTTACAGGATGAGAGCTACGCTCGTGGTGTCCCGTCTTCCCAGCACTCTTTGTCATATAACGCTTTGACAGTCACGTACATGTACATGTACGTGTACATGTACTATACATGTAAGAACGCTGTATTAAAAAAAATGAGAGAACATGAAATGCAAGGCTGACCTATTAGCTTGCACTAGCAGACTCTGGGTAGAGTCTTGTCTACCAGCCTGCACTAGCAGACTCTGGGTAGAGTCTAGTCTACCAGTCTGCACTAGCAGACTCTGGGTAGAGTCTAGTCTACCAGCCTGCACTAGCAAACTTTGGGTAGGGTGTAGTCTACCAGCCTGCACTAGCAAACTGGGTAGATTCTAGTCTACTAGCCTGCACTAGCAAACTCTGGGTAGAGTCTAGTCTACCACTGCACTAACAAACTCTGGGTAGAGTCTAGTCTACCAGCCTGCACTAGCAGACTCTGGGTAGAGTCTTGTCTACCAGCCTGCACTAGCAGACTCTGGGTAGAGTCTTGTCTACCAGCCTGCACTAGCAGACTCTGGGTAGAGTCTAGTCTACCAGCCTGCACTAGCAGACTCTGGGTAGAGTCTTGTCTACCAGCCTGCACTAGCAGACTCTGGGTAGAGTCTAGTCTACCAGCCTGCACTAGCAGACTCTGGGTAGAGTCTAGTCTACCAGCCTGCACTAGCAAACTTTGGGTAGGGTGTAGTCTACCAGCCTGCACTAGCAAACTGGGTAGATTCTAGTCTACCAGCCTGCACTAGCAAACTCTGGGTAGATTCTAGTCTACTAGCCTGCACTAACAAACTCTGGGTAGAGTCTAGTCTACCACTGCACTAACAAACTCTGGGTAGAGTCTAGTCTACCACTGCACTAGCAAACTCTGGGTAGAATCTAGTCTACCAGCCTGCACTAGTAAACTCTGGGTAGAGTCTAGTCTACCAGCCTGCACTAGTAAACTCTGGGTAGAGTCTAGTCTACCAGCCTGCACTAGCAAACTCTGGGTAGAATCTAGTCTACCAGCCTGCACTAGTAAACTCTGGGTAGAGTCTAGTCTACCAGCCTGCACTAGTAAACCGGGTAGAGTCTAGTCTGTTACGTACCCCTATTGGATACGTATATAAATAAATAATTACTTATTCCATGTATCATTAATTGTATGTGTTTATGTATTATATTATTACTTCTATATATTATATCATTACTTGTATGCTTATATCAGTACTTGTATGTTCTTGTATGCTTATATCAGTACTTGTATGTTCTTGTATGCTTATATCAGTACTTGTATGTTCTTGTATGCTTATATCAGTACTTGTATGTTCTTGTATGCTTATATCAGTACTTGTATGTTCTTGTATGCTTATATCATTACTTGTATGTGCTGATATGTTATATTGTGGTAATGATCATCTGGTACCTTACCTTGAGGTTACCTTGAGGTGCTTCCGGGGCTTAGCGTCCCCGCGGCCCGGTCGTCAACCAGGCCTCCTGGTTGCTGGACTGATCAACCAGGCTGTTGGACGCGGCTGCAGTCACAGCCTGGTTGATCAGGTATCCTTTGGAGGTGCTTATCCAGAAGACCAAACCGTGGGAAACCGTTATTATTTTTTTGTGTGGTGGTCAGCTAGTCAGACTTACTGTGAGAAAGTTATATTTTAAGATGCAGCAACCACACACAGGCCCACACATAGATAATTATAGCATAAAATAGTATAACATAATTGAATCTGCTTTGATACAGATCACAAAAGAAAGTAATTTGAACATTAGCAGTGGTCTATATAACTTAGAAGCATTTTTAATAGATCAATTAAAGGGCGATTTAAGTAGGATCATTGGAACACATTTGTCTCACTAATTCATTGTAAATTTTTACTATTTGATGGGGTGAGGTGGCATTAATAGGGTATTAATTTCATCAACACAAGACAGAACACGAAACAATGGGTATCAAGACGCCAAGCCGCCTGCTATCGCTGTATCTATCGATGATTTCTGTGTAACGACGATTAGCGATGATTAGCGATGTAACGACAGGCGGCTTGACGTTTGCGAGGCACTACACATTAAAAAGTCAACATCAGCAAACAACAGCCAATTAATGCACAACTATATTCTACCCACCTCAAGACTCCGCTCCAATATAGAAGCATCAAGAAATATGGACCAATAGGCTTTCTACAATCATTTCCATTCAATACCCATTGTTTCGTGTTCTGTCTTGTGTTGATGAAATTAATACCCTATTAATGCCACCTCACCCCATCCACCTCACTCAAATGTAGATATAAACAAATCGGAGATGTGTAAGTTCTATTCAGTTGTGTATGTGTAAACTAAAGTCTTTGAAAATGTAATAAGTTTTACGAAACGCGCTCAAGTGTCGCGTCAGACTAGAAATAAAAATGAATTTTGGAGAATTGATTTTTGAATTACCACCAACAGTGAAAAGAAATGTACGAAAGATAGAGAAAATTCGTGTTACAATTATTAATCTTACTTTTTCGGTCTTATTTAATAATATATGTCTACAGGAAAGACTGCTACCAAAATATACTAATATATATATATATATATATATATATATATATATATATATATATATATATATATATATATATATATATATATATTATTATTAATATGACCGAAAAAGTAAGATTAATAATTCTAACACGAATTTTCTCAATCTTTCGTACATTACGCTTCACTGTTGGAGGTAAATCAAAAATCACTTCTCCAAAATTCATTTATATATATATATATATATATATATATATATATATATATATATATATATATATATATATATATATATATATATATATATATATATATATATATGTATGTAATGTGTGTGTGTGTATTTACTATTTGTATCTGCAGAATAGAGCTATTAGCTCTTGGAACCCGCCTTTCTAACCAATTTAATTTTCCTCTATTATGTCTACTACATATACTTCTCTTACACACGCACATAACTCCAGGAAGCAGCCCGGGTACCTATTCACTGCTAGGTGAACAGGCGCACCAAGGTGAAAGAAACTCTGCCCATCTGCCGGGGATAGAACCCAGACCCTTGGGACTACGACCCCAGAGCGCTGTCCACTCAGCCGCGAGACCCCTGTACTCACCTAGTTGTTCTTGCGGGGGATGAGCTTTGGCTCTTTGGTCCCGCCTCTCAACTGTCAATCAACTGGTGTATAGATTCCTGAGCCTATTGGGCTCTATCATATCTACAGTTGAAACTGTGTATGGAGTCAGCCTCCACCATCACTGCCTAATGCATTCCATCTGTTAACTACTCTTACACTGAAAAAGTTTTTTCTAACGTCTCTGTGGCTCATGTGGGTACTCAGTTTCCACCTGTGTCCCCTTGTTTGCGTACCATCAGTGTTGAATACCTGGTTGATACCAGGTTGATGGGGTTCTGGGAGTTCTACTCCCCAAGCCCGGCCCGAGGCCTGGTTTAACTTGTGAGAGTTTGGTCCACCAGGCTGTTGCTTGGAGCGGCCCGCAGGCCCACATACCCACCACAGCCCGGTTGGTCCGGCACTCCTCGGAGGAAACAATCTAGTTTCCTCTTGAAGATGTCCACGGTTGTTCCGGCAATATTTCTTATGCTCGCTGGGAGGACGTTGAACAACCGCGGACCTCTGATGTTCATACAGTGTTCTCTGATTGTGTCTATGGCATCTCTGCTCTTCACTGGTTCTATTCTGCATTTTCTTCCATGTCGTTCACTCCAGTACGTTGTTATTTTTCTGTGCAGATTTGGGACCTGGCCCTCCAGTATTTTCCATGTGTATATTATTTGGTATCTCTCTCGTCTCCTTTCTAGTGAGTACATTTGGAGAGCTTTGAGACGATCCCAATAATTTAGGTGCTTAATCTCGTCTATGCGTGCCGTATATGTTCTCTGTATTCCCTCAAGTTCAGCAATCTCTCCTGCTCTGAAGGGGGACGTGAGTACTGAGCAGTACTCAAGACGGGACAACACAAGTGATTTGAAGAGTACAACCATTGTGATCTCTGGTCCAACCTCTGGACTTGAAGGTTCTCGTAATCCATCCGATCATTTTTCTGGCTGACGCAATATTTGCTTGGTTATGCTCCCTAAACGTTAGGTCGTCGGACATCATTATTCCCAAATCCTTGACATGCTGTTTTCCTATTATGG